GAACGAGCATCCTCTTCCTTTTCAAAATTTGAGAACGGTTCTCTGAAATACCACTTAACACATGTCCACATGTTACTGATGAATAGAAGATATGAAAAGAAAGCATGGATCAATACCTAGATTTCTGATAAAAATTCCTTCTAGCAACAGAATCCAGTCTCAAAAATGAAAAAAAAAGTCATGTTTCAATGATATACTTGCCGGCTGAGAAGCCCGTAGCATTGAATGTTGTAGACAGAGGATGGCAGAGATTGAAAGATGAGAGCACTTTCAGAAGAAACCTGCATCTTGATCCCAAATAACGCAGGAAGTACAACTTCTCTGTAATTTCTAGTGGAGAAAAAACCTTTAGCTCCCTCTGTTCCTTCTTCGTTTCTGGATGTGTCTGGTGACTGTAACAGTTAGGGGAAGATGGGTGTTGCTTTCCTTGGCCGCCCCTCAGCGTATGTATACCTTCCAGAGACCTATCTCTAAATCCTCACTAAATGAAGGCATGATGGATGCATTCTGCATCTCAAAGGAACAGCAAGGGTTGAGGATACAATACACCTCAGCTGGTAGAGCATAAAGCCCTGGGTTCTACCACTATCAAGACACAATCTGGATTTGGTGGCAAATACCTATAATCCTAGCACTGAGAAACTAGATACAGGAACATCTAAAGTTCAAGGAACATAATGAGTTAAGAGGGTAGCACGGGAAATACTAAACCCTGCTAGCAATGTACAACAAATACGTAGTTTCAAAAGGAGGCTCAGTGACTGGTGAGATGGCTCGGCAGTTAACAGCACATGTAATTCCTCCAGAGGACCCAGATTATTCCCAGCACTCATCTGTCTGACTCCAGTCCTAGGGGATTCAATGCCCTTTTCTGGCCTCCACATGCACTGAACACATGTGCTCTATAGACATACATGCAGGCAGAGCATCCATTCATATAAAAATAAAGGTTATCTTTTTAAAAAAGAGATTCACTTTTATTTTTATTTATGTCTATTTGTGAAGATATACCACGTGTGGGTGCCCTCAGAGGCCAAAAGAACTGAAGCTGGAGTTACAGGTGACTGAACCCAACTTAAGTCCTTTAGAAGAGCAGCAAGAACTCTTACCTGCACTGTTGAGCCATCTCTCCAGTCTATAACTTTTCTTTAAAGAGTCAGAGAATCTTTAAAATTTTTTAATTTTTATTTTATAGTATATATTTTTACTTTTATTGAGATTTTAATTATATCACCCCTTTCCTTTCCTCCCTCCAACCCCTCCCATGAATCCCCTCTTGCTCTCACTTAAATACTTGGCCCTCTTTACTTTAATAGTTGATGTGTGTGTTGTCTGTTTCCCTAAACCAATCAATCAATCAATCAATCAATCAATCAATCAAGCAAGCAAGCAAGCAATCAGTCAGTCAATTGATTGATCTATCTAATTATATATCTATCTCCTACCTATATAGAACTTACTCAATCTGGATAATGTTACTTGATGTTAATGTTGCTTTCAGGCTGACCACGTGCTATTGAATAACCGACTGCTGTGCTCTTGCCCAGGGAAAACTACTTCTCCAGTTCTCAGCACTCCTTAGTTGCTTTGTCTGTAGTTTTCTTTGTCTATGGCTGAGGTCTCACGAGCTTCCCCTTCCATGCATGCATGTCTGATGTCATCCTTGTCAGGTCATGTTTATGTAGTTATGTTGGTGAGCCTTAGAGGATATAGCATTTCTGACACGTCAAGAAGACATAGTCTCTCAGAACTCCTGGTATCTGGCTCTTACAATTTTTGTACCCTGTTTCACACAGATCTCTACCGTAGTACAGGAGCTGAGCTGTAGATGTGTCAGTTGGGACCGGCTTCCACACTCTGTAATTTGATCAGTTGTGGTTTCTGTAATCGTCTCCTTCCATTGTACAGAGAAATTTTCTTGATGAGGGGTAAGAACTACACTTATCTGTGGGTATAGGAATAAATAAAGTGTAATTAGGTTCTGTATTGCTTTAGTAAAATGGCAGTTATAGGTTCTCCTCCAAGATCCATGACTTTACTAGCCCTGGGTAGTTGGCTAGGTTTCCAGAACCAGGCACGATCTCTCTCTTGGTGAGTGGGCCTTAATCCAATTAGAGAGTTATTGGTTACAAATTTTATTTTATGTAGATGAGTGTTTTGCCTGCATGTCTGTCTGTGTACGGCATGCATGCCTGAACTCACAGAGCCAGAAGAGGAGCTAGACTCCCTGGAACTGGAATTGCAGTGGCTGTGAGCTGCCATGTATGTAGGTGCTGGGAATTGAACCCTGGTCTTCTGAAAGAGTAGTAAGTGTTCTTTTCTGCTAAACCATCTCTTCCCCATTCTATAACTTTATTTTCTAAAAGATCGTCTTCTCTTAATTTAAAAGTAAAAAATGATTCTTAATTTTAATAATCATCCAAAGTTACTTTAACAAATAAATCTCAACAACTATGACTATTTTATTTTGGAAATAATAACAAATAGGAAATGCCTACTCTGTCCTAGGAAGGACACGTAAATTCTGATGCCTAAAGTGACCTAAATGGTATACTTTTATACACCTTAGAAATTGAGGCAAGCAAGAAAATCAAAACAGGAGTTTTTATTTGCAGTTCAAGGGTTAAATACTTTAAAGTGCCAAATGTGGATTAAGCACATGAGAAGTCTTACATGATCTGGAAGTTCACCTTTAATAAAAATCTACTGCTTTAGAAAACAAGTTTAGGTAGTACTCACTATACGTGCACCCTCATCCTTAGGTTGGTGGGCTTTTTGAGCCAGTAAACCAATCTCAGAAAGATAGTCACAAGTATATTAAAAAGCTTAGTAAAGAAGAGCGTATTACTAGTAGAGGTATATAAAACAGTTAATTGATGGTGCAGGAAGCTAAAAAGATATTCCAGGTCAGCTTGTTTCCTTATTGTGGTTCAGACTCAAATAATTCTCAAAACTCAAGATACAGTACCCCAATATTTATAATTTCTATAATGTACATCGTTTGTTCTTTTAACTTAAAAAAACATTACAAAAGCGAAAGCACAGGCGCTTCCTCTCTGGCATCACCCCATGTGCTGCGAACCAGCACTGTTTATTAAGAATTCACAGTAATTACATATTTTTCAGGTACCAAGAAAATCTGACAACAAAAAAGATAGGCTAGCAGTGTTCTATAAGTTAAAAAGGAGTGGGGGGCGGAAGCCACAATGTAAACAAAATTACAGCATTACTTACGAGCTTTGCATAGAACATCTAGGCTGACGTTTAGAACTGTGTGACTTTAAACGCTAAGCAGGGAGGGAACGAGAAGCCAAGGATGAACACTGGGCTAGGAGTCCAGACATGTGGGAAGTCTGTCTTTAGGGTTTAGTCTTCTCATTAACAAAACTAGACGACATCATCTCTTTTGGATCTTTAAAAAGAATAAAACCCAAAGTTCCTTCTGTCCAGAATCAATGTGCCAAATCAGGCATATTTCTTTTAATATTTTCAATAAAGAAACATGGACATACAGCAGACACCATTTTGCCACAAAGTGTAATCTCTGACTGCTAATTATTCCTGGAACAACCAGGCTTTTCTCGTCTTCCCTCAGCAGCTGACATGCCCCGGAAATGAGCGAGCACCCTCATTAGGTAGTAACATAACCACAGAAGCGTTCAGGGATGCTGCGGTTCCTGAATGCTTAGCAATTATACAAAACACAACTAGGATAATGACAAAGGTTCTATTAAATCAAAGTAAAGGAGCCATTTAGATCTCTGTGATATGAAATGTGAGTATCCTTTGGCTTTGGTTAAATATTTATATTGAATATCCGTCCTCTGCAGAAGGAATAGCACAGTTTATTCCTATGTCTTTGAGATAGTGGTGGAGTAGGTTGTGGTCTGTGGCCACTGGGTGCTGACTGCTTGTGCTAACCTTGGGACGGAAGATAGTAATGGTGATAGCAGATAGCCAGTACTTAGTACTCTCCGGCCTGGGAGACTTTTACCACCCTCTGCTTTACATTTTTAGTCAGAAGGCATGTTTAACACTGGGGTAATCTGTAGGATGTAATAATTCACATAAAATGGCTAAATTTCATGGCGGTTGTTACTAAATTTATGGCTTTCACTTTAGCCTCTGAATATAAGTGTTTTCTACTGTGCAAAGAAACAACTTTCAGTTTTTTTTTTTGTCAGAGAATTTAGAATCAAATGACTGCCCAAGCTGAGTTGCACGAGATCATGCAAATCTACACTGTTGTTACATCCAGTGTTTTCTACAAATACTGGTGTTTTGTAAGTCTCTTCAAGTTCCTTTAAAATAGGATACAGTGTTAAAATATATATATAGCTAAAAGTGATAATGATGAACAAAATCTATAACCTAAAAATTAAGAATGGCAACTATTTTTATGATGGCTATAATTTTATACAGGAAATGTTAATTTTTCTTTCTTGAGGTCACAGCTGTCAATTTAAGTATTTACTGTGCTGCTGGGACACTGGCTCACCAGTCTCATCTAATAAAATGCCGACTTAATAGCTGCTGAAAGAACACAGTTACTAATCTTTCTCTGGAAAGTTCAGTGATTACTATGTTTTGAAATTCCTTTTCCTTTTTCAAGTTCTATTTTTAGAAGCAGGAATGTTTACTGGCTTAAAAAAATAAAATCATGCTTATGCTAAGTGTAGGTTTTCCTATCTTCCTGATATAATTTCTTTTAAAAAGAAAAACGTCATACAGAGAACAGAGTTTGGGCAGAAAGGACATCACACTGAAGGTCACAGTTCTCAGCAATTTGAGAGATCAGATTTATGTAGTACTTAAAAGAATTAGTGAAATCTAGTAAACCTGACGTGTTCATTTCATTTGAAAATTTAGTTCAATACAGAGTGAGAATTTACCTCTTTAAAATGAAATTATTTATATGAGCTATCATTAAATATATGGATTCTTCCCCATTCATACTTATCCAAAGTATTCCTGCTATAAATAATGTAAGTGAAGGATCATTAACAATGTATACTTTAATATAAGATTTCTGTTGTGATTTGGAACAATAAATACCACAGTGAAAAACTTATCACCAACTAAATACAGCAGCAAAGAAAGAAGCTTATGTACACATCCCCATGACCAAGGTCTTTATAATAGTTTATGGTACAGTCCCACCACAGCCTCTTTCTACATAGAGTCTCTAATGTGAACAAAGAAATCTGTCTCGTGTGTCTTAAATATTGGTTTGATAAAGTTTGTACAGTATCAAATAATATCAAAAGTATAAAAAAAACCAATGAGTTTTGATGTTTATAAATTATCATTTTATATACTTTATAAAACATAAGGTCAAAAGTGCTTTTAAGAAAAAAGCTGAAGTTTCTATTGATGATAATGGCTAGAAAAATGCACTGTTCCAAGCAGAAGCTATGTAAAGGCTCACACAGTTTCTCAGAGGACTTCTTTAAACTTCCACTAACCATAGTTACCATGTGCCAGAGACAAACCAATACCAAGAGAACAAATAAATGTTCTGGAAAGATGATAGGGAGCACAGATCTGACGTGAAGCTCTGCATGAAGCCATATTAAAGGCCTGCCCACAAGTGAATTCTGGGACCGATTACTGGGACGAATGTCTGTCACTGAATGAGACCCAACAGGAACGACTTCAGAGGTTGCTGCATGCCTTTAATCTTTCTCAAATCTCCAGTCAGGATTAACTGGTAGTAACACACCCCAGGATTATTACTTTTCTAGCATAATTAAGATGAAGCATGATTTCAAGGTGATAAATCATGTCATCTACTACTTCCCACATAAAACAGGACTAAAGTTACAGTTATTGAAGACAACAGTATAGAAATGATTCCGGGAGAAATGAACTATGACTGTGTTTGAAACTGCCTCTCACCACAGGACTAGCCATACTCTACACACAAGAGCAAACAGGCCCACGCTGAATACAGTGACGCTTTGTCCCCTTATGCAGGAAACCGAAATGGTAAAACCACAGGCAAACAAACACATCGGCGAAAAGAAAGACAAAAGGAATAAAAAGAAACATCTTACTTTTAAATTTACTGTGGGATCAAATTGATGGGGCTGTGTGAACAAGAACAGTATCCTGATGTCAACACCTCCAGGCTGCTGAGCCTGGCTCAACATGACCACGCGCTCCTCAACTACTCAACTGGTGGTATTTTGTAGATAAGATACCAAGCAACGAATGATGACTTTTTCCACTGAATACATTAAGTTCCTTGGTTGGTTTCACATATATAGATTGCCTGAGATAATAAAACATCAGCATTATGATAGATTATGAAGGTCTTTCAAATTCTGACAGAACAAGATTGGTTGCTGAGACAGAATGGGTGTTGGTGTAGCTGCATACACATACTTAATAATTAACGCCTTAAGCTGACAATTAGAAGTCAATGGATATGGATGCTTGCGCAGAATCATCTCGCCCCCGGACATAAATTTCACAGGGGATCTCTTCCATTACTCTGTCCTCTAGAGCTTGTTCAGGGCACTCATGTGCTTGTTTGAAAGTGTAGCTGCTTTTTTTGAAGGTGCTATTAAATGTTTTCATTGGCTGTGGTTGTGCAAAATCATTTCGGAAGGGAAGTTCCATGGAACTGAGGTTGGTCCTGCTTTGTTTGACACTGGATGCTTGAGAGCCACAGTGGTGGTCATGAATGCACCGGGAGGCCGTGGAAGAGCGCCGCATCTTCTGGTAGTTGTCAAGTTCTTCTGACAAATCTGCCAGGTCTGCGGAAATCTCTTTCTCTCTTAGTGAAAATAGTTCATAATGAGGAGGATCAAATACTTCCTGGAACCCAGTTTTATTGAATGCAGTTTTACAAGCCATTACCTTTTTCCGGGGCTGTTTCACTTGTACTAAAATAGAAATAATGAGAAGAACCAAGACAATCCCTGATGTAATGCCAATAATTGTTCCATGAGTTTTAGTGATTTGTTCAAATAGTCCAGCTTTCTTCTTCTCTATAAGAAAAAATGTTGAGGTTTTCACAATTCATTAATAGGAATTCCAGCACATATTGACTAGACATTTTTCTGTATAACAGGATATTTGATTCAAACATACCAGAGAAAATTCAACTGAAGAATTGTTTTTGTTTTTTAAACAAATAGAAAATACTATTAACCATGATTTTCGAGTCAAGTAACAAATCATGATATAGCTAGCTAGGAACAGAAAAACTCAGCTCCCTTACTCAAAAGGTTCATAAATGCTTACAATCTGCAAATTACATTAATACAGAAAATGTCAAAACAAATACTCTTGATCTATCAAGTTTGGTTTTCTGCTGTAAGGCAGATTTGACAAATGCTGTGTTGATTCATATCTGTGGGATCAAACTAACAATCCAGGTGTACTACCATAGCCTACTGTTTTGGAATGATAAGTGCTTGCCAAGTAGTAAGTGTTGCCTTCAGACTACACCATGTTCCCCCAGTAAGATATTTATTCATCCAACTCTCAGGAAGACGAAAGACAGATATGTTCTATTTCTCCAACTATGCAACAACCAAGCTACAGGTATCTAAGGCCTCTCATCATCATATTTGCACTTCAGAGTATATGTCAGAAACACAAGTAACTCGATGAAAGGAAAAGAACAAAGAAAGAAAAAACATTCTATAATGCATTGCTTTTACATCACTGTGCTAATCTATTAGCTGGTCTTATTAGTTCTTCCATTCTCGAGGTGGTCCTCTAAACTATCTAACTCCACGATTCAGCAATAATACAGGGCAAAAAATATAAAGATACACTTTTCAATAACTTGTCAATACACTCTACAAAGAAATGCTTTAGAAGCCAATTATTCTTCAAGAATGTTATTATATCAGGTTGTGGGGGCATGCACCTTTAATCTCAGCACTTGGAATGCAGAGACAGGTGGATCTTTGAGTTTGAGGCCAGCTTGGTTATGGAGTGAGTTCTAGGACAGCCAGGGCTACCAAGAGAAACCTATTCTTCGGTGAGAAGAAAAAGAATGTTATTATGTGCTATAGCAACTATGCTAAGCATACCAGTAGAAAAAGACGTTTTAGTTTGTTTCTTATGAAAGGAACCCCTACTCCTCACAGAAATGCTGGCCTTTGCATCAGACTTACCTTTACAGTGGTTCTCATCCCAAGGGTATGCACAGTTTTGAACACCATTACAGACCAAAGAATTGTTGATGCACATGTTGCTATGGCAAAAGAAAGTACTGCTTGTACAGGGAGCTGTAGGAAGAAAGAAAACTAACGTTGCTAAGAACAGTGACATAAAGACTAAAAGCTCATCTTCATTTATTTTGTACTTCAGAATTTGACTTTAGCCTGGTGTGAAGTCACACGTCTTTAATCTCAGCACTTAGGAGGCAGAAGCAGCTGGATCTCTCTGAGTTCAAGGCCAGCCTGCTCCACAAAGTGAGTTTCTGGAGAGACAGGATTATGTACAGAGACCCTGCCTCAAAGTAAATAAATAAAGAATTGACTTTCTAAGAGTAATTTCTTAGCTTAGAGACCTTTCCATGAACACAATGTAATAGACAACCAGTAAGACCAGGGCCAATATTCTATAATTCTGGCTCATACAACTTTTTGAATGCTGGCACCAAGAGGTTATTTTCAGTGTAATGACAATGAGTATAGTATATGCCCCATACTTCTCAACGAATTTCTACATAGGTGAGAAAAAATTTTCAAAACTTCAAAAGACCATGCTATCAATTGTGATGGCTAATTACGAGTTGATGCGATAAGAACAGCCCAGGAGGCGGAACTCTGGACATGTCTGTGAAGATGCTGCTAGCAAGGTCTGCTGAGGTATCACTGGCTGGAGCCCCTCACTGAAGGAAAGGAGAGGGCAAGTGTAGCACTAGTGTTCATTGGCTGTTTGGCTTCCTGACCTTGGACATCATATGCCTGCTGTCATATCTTCCTTGCTATGATGGATTGTCTCTGTAAACCATGACCCAAAATAAATCTATACCTTCTTAAGTTGCTTTTGTCAGAGCAACAAGAAAAGCAACCAATTCAGAGGACATGGAAACATAGGAACTGTCTATGTGTTGCAGGTGGGAAAATCTGTAAGATGTGGAAATTTGGTTCCTGCTTAAAAAGTTGAACACGAGATTGTCTCATGATCCAGAAATGCTACTGCTAGCTATACCCAACAGTATACTCTGTAGGAGCTCAAATTTGTACTTGAATACAATGGAGGGCAGTATTAATCACATTAGCCAACAGGCAGAGGCAACCCCTATGTCCACCACGACTAAAAGAAAACAAGACAATGGAATATTAAGACAAAAGAACTTGCTGCATATATGGCTGAGAGCTGATAACACAATGCTAAGCAAAGTAAGGCAGCTATTCAGTTCCCATAATTAGATAATAATTATTATATAACAAATACATATGACCTCATTTATATGATGTACCTGTGCAAATTCAGAGATCAAAAATAGAGCCAAGCTTCTCAGGTACTGGGGGACGAAACAGTATTTAAAGGAAAGAGTTTCAGTTTGGAATGATAAAAATGCTTAGGAGGGGCGGGTGAGATGTCTCAGTAGCAAAGGTGCTTGGTATGTTAGACTAGGGACTTGCCTACCATCCCCCTGGAGACCACATAAAGGTGGAAAAGGAGAAGCAGTTCCACAAAGATGTCCTCTGCCTTCCAAACACATGCTGGGGTACACAAGCTTATCCTCCACACCCATCATACTTTGTACATACATGCACACACACACACACACACACACACACACACACACACACACCAACAAGACACCAACAAAAAGGAGACAGTAGTGATGGTTGTACAAGCACAACAACGTGAATGTATTTGATGCCACTGGATCACACAACTAAAAGTTCTGGGGCTGGAAATGAATATGGCTTAGTGGAGGAGGATTTGCCTAGCACACAAGGCCTTGGTTTTGGTTCACAGAAAAAAAAAAACAAAACAAAACGTGTTTTGTGTTATTAATTTTTTGCCAGGATAAAATCCATTTAAAATTACAAAAAAAAAGCCTTTTCCCCAAGAATAGCACACATACAGAGAAGACAGGCCATGTATGCACTACCTGTAGGTAGTTCTTGCAAGTAGGAATGTCTCATTTTCTTAAGGGTTACTATGATTTTTGCTTTTCGAGATAATCTTTTTCTTCTTGGTTTTCTGAATCAGGGTCTTATCCTGTATCCCAGGATGACTTCTTGCAATCTTCCTGCCTCAATCTCCCAAGTGTTGGGATTACAGGCGTGAGCCCTTATGCCAAGTTCAAGAAAATCTTTAATATTTTCCCATAAATGAGACATGCCCTTTACTCTCCTAAGTGTTAATGCCTCTGGTGTGTTTTTGCAGTGTCCCATGCCTCTGTCTTTGACACCTTCTCATTACAGGTGCACATTTACTATGCGGGGTCATGATGCAGTGTGCTTGCTTCTGCTAAGATAAAACAGTGCAGGAAAACATTGAGAACAACAGTATCATATGATCCAGAGCGTGCGCGCGCGCGCGCGCGCGCACACACACACACACACACACACACACACACACACACACACACACACACACAGAGCCAAGGAGATGGGTGACTTAATATTTTCCACCATTAAACAAGATTATGGAGGTAGAACAAGCTTGCCAAATTCAACTGTTCTAACTTCTAAAAATTGTAGCTTTCAACTGTATAAAATGTATATCCCTCCTAAGGCTATATTTTTTATTTTTAGAAAGTATATTATTTTTCAGAGAAGAATTGAATATTGTGATATATTATACTGACACACACATTACTTATAAATTAAAAAGCTTTTTTTCTTTTCAGCGGGCTTTGGTGGCACAAGCCTTTAATATCAGCACTTGGGATTCAGAAAGCAGGTTAAGTCTCGAGTTCGAGGCCAGCCAGGACTGTTAAACAGAGAAACCCTGTCTCAAAAAACAAAAACCAAACCAAACCAAACCAATCCGATCCAATAAACAAACAGTCAAATAAAATCCTAAAAGTTTCTTTTCAAGGTGAAAGGTCTAAAAATGTACTAGACTAATAAATTATTTTTCTTTCCAATCATTGTCTTTTTCTTAATATGTAAACAATAAACTTCATTAAAATACAGTTAGGGCTGTAATATTTTTTTCCTCTAAAGAGTACAGTTTTTGGGTGATTTTGGAATGCCTGGCCATCTTCTCCTACTGCACAGTATCAGCGATACAACTGGCATCTTAGTGCCCACCAGCCAGAGCTGTAGTCTCTGCCGCTGCTGACACTCACTCAGTATGGGCAGGGGAAACAGGTAAAATCCAGAACAAACCCTGGAAGTGAAGTTGAATGGAAATTATCCAAAACTTCTTTGCTACGAAAGGCTGACTCCCCTAGAAGGTAGCATTCACTGAAATTCCTGTGCAGTTGGTAATTAATCTATAGTTAATTATCAGGAGCTACACAGTCTGTTTCACGAAACAAATAAACCTAAAAGTTCCTGGGCGTTCCAGAGACAACTGTAATCCCAGCAGCTGGAGCAGACAGTGAATGCAGCAAATGTGAAGTCAGTCTGGGCTGTGGAATGAGTTCCATGAGACCCCGTCTCAGGAAAAATAAAGGCTTGGATAGCATATGATGTATTCCAGAGTTCTTGGTTCTAAGAGTGGACAGAGCAATGTAATCAGCAGTCACAACAATGTTGATCCTTCTTCCTTTAATATAAGAGCAAAGAGGTATATAGCTAATAAGTGATTTTCTATACTGCTAAACACTGTCACTTAAAACATTACATAAGCAACATTTCATGATTATTCTCTCATTCATTCATTTAATTTTGGGTGCTGGGGATTGAACTCAGGGCCTTGTTCATATGGGACAAGCACACAAGCATACTTGCCAATTAAGCCTCTACCCCAGACTCAAGATTCTATGATTCTTCAAAGTGCTTAGTGGCTTCAAAGCCATCATAAAATGAGAGGCACTAGTTTTATATATATATATATATATGTGTGTGTGTGTGTGTGTGTGTGTGTGTGTGTGTGTGTGTGTGTGTATATATACTGAAGGTTTTCAATGAAAAAGCACAATCACATTTTATTTACTTTGTAAATTTGCTAGTATATTTACTTTAGCTGTGGCATGGATGTAATAAAACTTATATATGATGAATGCACTTTAATTATAAAGAATGGCCTGAACAATTTCACAAACTGTATTATACACGATAAAAATCATATTCTATTTCTACAACCTATCTTATATATATAAGTTCACAACTAGAGATCCAGAGGAGATAAGTTACTTTTAAAAGACAAGTTGATGAGGCTATAAACATCATTATGGATCCTTGGTATTCTGATTTACTTTACACCATCATGTGGTCACATTTTGATGGCTTTTTCTAACTTCAAGGTGTTGTAAAAGATAGGTTCTCTGCTCTATATTTCTCATTTTTTTTTTGTTCTTTTCAAGACAGGGTTTCTCTGTAGCTTTGGAGACTGTCCTGGAACTTATTCTGTATATCAGGCTGGCCTCGAACACACAGAGATCCACCTGCCTCTGCCTACCGAGTGCTGGAATTAAAAGTGTGCACCACTGCTTGGCAGGTTACTTAATTTTAATTCATGTTTGTGGGTGTGCATGTCACAGCACAGGTGTGAAGTCAGAGAACAACTTGCAGGAGCTGGTTCTCTACTTCTACTATGTGGATCCTGGGGATCAAATTTAGGTTACCAGGCTTGATAGCAAGCACCTGTCCCTGCTAAGCCATCTTGCCAGCCCATTAATACAGGGTTTTTTCTTTTACAATTGTTCTCTATATTATTTAAAGTAACCAGAAGACTGCACTGATATAGTCAGACTACTTTATATAAAATTGGATTGCATATCTTTAAATTAGTGCATACTAATTACAATAATGTTTCATTATGATACTTTCATATGTGCACATAATGTACTTTGATCATATTTACCAAGTTACTTATAATTGCAAATCTGTTAAGTTTTACGGCCTTTTACTTCATAAGTACAGCTGTTTAAGACTTGGGTTCACTAAACAACAAAGAGGACCCTAAGAGAGACATACATGGATCTAATCTACATGGAAGTAGAAAGAGACAAAATCTCCTGAGTAAATTAGGAGTGTGGAGATCATGGGAGAGGGAGGAAGGGGAGCAGAGAAAAATATATTTAGTAATAAAAGCAATAAAAAAAGATGGGTTCAGTCCTTAGCACTGAATAAACTGGGTGTAGTTCAAGCTTATAGGATCAGGAGTTGGAGGTCACCTTCAGCTACAGCCAGACAGGAATACTGAGACCTTGTTGAAAAGAAAAGAAAAGAAAAGAAAAAGAACATTGTGTACATTTTGATTTGTAGGCAGCAGAAGCAGAGACTGTGTACTGGATGTAACTTAAGCATTTTTTAGACCTCAAAGCCTGCCCTCACAGTGACACACTTCCTCCAAAAGGCCAACAAAGCCACACCTCCTAATAGTGCCACTATGGGCCAAGCATTCAAACACATGAGTCTACGGGGGGACAATCCTATTCAAACCACCTCATTCCACTCCCTGGCCCCCATGGGCTTTTAACATAATACAAACTGCAGTTAGTCCAACTTCAAAAGCTCCCAGAGTCACTCACAATTTGTAAAAGTGCAAAGTTCAAAGTTTTTTTCTTAGATTCATGCAATCTCTTAACTGTAATCCCCTATAAAATCAAAATAAAAAAGCAGATCACATCCTTCCAACCTACAATGGCACAGGGTATGCATTACCATTCCAAAATGGAGGAAAGGGAGCACAGTGAGGAAACACTGGACCAAAGCAAGACAGAAAACCAGCTGGGCAAACTCCAAACTGCATTTCCACGTCTGAGGTCAAAGCACTCTTCAGAGCTCCAACTCCTTTCATCTTTGTTGACTGCAACACACTTCTTTCTCTTGTGGGCTCCACTCCCTGTTAGCAGCTCTCTTCAGCATGTGTCCCACAACTCTGGCATCTCTAACATCTTGGGGTTTCCAAGGCAATCCAGACTTCACCTTCACAGTTTCACACAATGGCCTCTCTAGGCCTCCACACAGGGACACCCCACCACACACCTGGCCTCAGAGGCTTTCTTTTTTCCTTAGTCATGAAGGGAGATTCCATGTCTCCTTTCTTGTATCCTTGACTCTAAAGTCAGAACTACATGGCTGAAGCTGCCAAGTTCTGATGCTAGCTGGGGCTGAAACATGGCCACCTCATTCAATTACATCTTCACCAGCTTTCTATTTTCCATGGTTTTCTTTACTGCCTAAGCTTAGCTTCCTGGAAGCTTGATCTCTATATAGACCAAGCTGGCCTTGAATTCAGAGATTGGCATGCTTCTGTTTTGTGCATCTTTAGATTAAAGGTGTGTACTACTATACCTGGGCCCAAGTTGTTCTCTAATTTCTTTTCGTAAGCTGGAAGCTCAGCTAAGTGGGATCATGGCCTGAGGTCTCCACTCCCTTTTATTCTATTTAACATCAGGATTTCCTTTAATCTGTTTATCTCCTTGAACACAAGATTTAGCTCCATTCCACTTCCTGGTGCCCCTTTTCCCCCTCAAATTGTACATTTTGTATTTTTTCTTGCTAAGCTTGATCCTTTCCATCATATATCTTCATAAGAGTGAACGCTATTAACCATATGACAGAGTCAATACTAGGCTGTTTTGAGATTTCCTCTGCCAATGGGACTAATCCAAAACTCTTCACTTTAGCCTCAGATAGACTCTTCAGACAAGGACAAAAAGCAGCCACATTCTTCACCAAATATCACACAAGATCGGTTTCCAGGCCACATACTAACATTCTTCTCTGAACCTGTTGAGCCAGGCTCCCACAGTTCAAACTATCCTTAGCAGTTCAGTCTTCCTTGTTCCTTCTAGTATGACTCATTAAGCCCACTTAAAGCATTCAACTGTTCTCTGAATCACAGTACCAAAGTTCATATTACTACAAACAAAAACATGGTCTGGCTTATCACAGCAATTCCCCAGTTCCTGGTGTTAAGAGTCTCTATGGCAGTGAAAGAGATGCTATGATTTCGGCAACTCTTGGAAAGGAAAACATTTGGGCTGCCTTATAGTTTCAGAGCTTTTATCCCTTATCATTGTGGGGCATGGTGGCATGCAGAAGGAGAAGGAGCTGAGAGTTCTATATCTTGATCCATAGGTAGCAGGAGAGACTGTAAACTGGGCATAGCTTAAGCTACAAATCCTGCCCTCATAGTGACACACTTCTTCCAACAAGGCCACACCTCCTAACAGGCCACTCCTTATGGGCCAAGCATTCAAACATATGAGTCTATGAGGGCCATAACTATTCAAACCACCACAAACACAGTAAGGGGAGGCCCTTAGATGATTCTCAGAAGAATCATCCTGCCATTGATATTAATGAGAAGTCACAGAGTGAGGTATTCTCATTGGAAATAAAAACTGATCTGAGCAAGGCTGACCTCTCTTCTCAGTAGGAATGAAATACTTCCATATCTGAAGAAACCAGGGGAAGAAATCAAGCTTTGACAGTTGCTAGAGTAAGGCTGTGCTTTTCCCCCATTTTTGCAGGGGCTTTTGGTGGAATGCCCATGGAATCAGGGAAGCCATTATGGACGTTTTAGAATCATAAGTCAAAATAAATTCTTCCACAGCAGCAAATTTCAGCATATAGATTGTGATCCCCTTGAGAATCACATATCAGATATCCTGCATATTATAAATTTAAGAACATGCTAGAGGCCCTTAAAGAAGAAATGAAAAAATTCCATTAAAGTAGAGAAAAGACAAACAAAAATGGGAAGAAATCAACAAATCCCTTAAAGAAAGCAAAGAAAGTCAAGAAAAAAACATTCAAACAAGTAAAGGAAACGGTTCAAGACTTGAAAACTGAAATGGAGGCAATAAAGAAAATACAAACCGAGAGAATTATGGAAATGGAAAATCTGGGTAAATTATCAGGAATTACAGAATACAAGAGATGGAAGAGAGAATCTCTTTTTATGAGGTTACAATTAGCCTGATGCCCAAACCACAGAAAGACTCAACAAAGAGATTACAGACCAATCTCACTCATGAACATTGATGTAAAAATACTCAAATTACTGGAAAATAGAAATCAAGACCATATTAGAAAAATTATACACCATGTACAAGGAGGCTTAATTCCAGAGATGCAGGAATGATTCAACATATGAAAATCTGTCAGTATAATCCACCATATAAATAAACTGAAATAAAAAAATATGACCATCTCATTAGATGTAGAAAAAGCCTTTGACAAAATCCAATAATATCTAAACATAATAAAGGCAACATACTGCAAGCCAACAGCTAACACCAAACTAAATGGAGAATAACTCAAAGAGATTACATTAAAATCAGGAATACGAAAAGGTTGTCCACTTTCTCCATATCTAGTCAATATAGTATTCAAAGTTCCAGCTAGAGCAATAAGACAACAAAAAGAGATCAAGGGAATACAAATTGGAAAGGAAGAAGTCAAACCCACTATTAGCAGATATATGATAGTTTACATAAGTGACCCAAAAGATTCTACAAGGGAACTCCTATAGCTGATAAACACCTTCAGTAATATGGCAGGACACAAGATTAACTAAAAGAAAATCAGTAGTTCTCCTATATACAGATGATAAACAGGCTGAGAGAGAAATCAGAGAACATCATCCTTCACAATAGCTACAATATAAAATATCTTGGGGTAACTGTAATCAAACAAGTGAAAGACCTGTATGACAAGACCTTTACGTCTTTAAAGAAAGAAATTGAAGGAGATACTAGAAAATGGAAAGATCTCCCATGCTCTTGGGTAGGTAGGATCAACATAGTAAAAATGGCAATCTTACCAAAAGCAATCTACAGATTCAATGTAATCCCCATCAAAACCCCAACACAATTCTTCACAGATCTTGAAAGAACAATACTCAACTTCATATGGAAAAACAAAAACCAAGCCAGGATAGCCAAAAATTCCTGTACAATAAAGGAACTTCTGGAGGCATCACCATCCCTGACTTCAAGCTCTGCTATAGAGCTATAGTAATGAAAACAGCTTGGTACTGGCACAAAAACAGACAGATGGACCAACAGAATTGAAGACCCTGATATTAATCATGCACCTATGAACACCTGATTTTTGACAAAGAACCTAAAGTTATACAATGAAAAAAAGAAAGCATCTTCAACAAACAGTGCTGGCATAACTGGATGTCAACATGCAGAAGAATGCAAATAGATCTGTATCTATCCCCCTGCATGTAAAATAAAAATATCTAAAAGAGAAAAAACAATTCCTTTGGATAATTCACTGGTTTGTAATATAATTAATGTTCATGCTTTTAAAACAAGCATGTTTCACTATGTATTTAAAGTTAGTGTTTTATGGTGTACAAAATCATTTGTCTTTGCATCATGTGCCATAATCTAACTCCCAAATTCTGCCCTGACGACCTTTATTCCTGTATTAACTCGCTGACTTGGCAAAGGGTTTGCTGTAAGTTAGTGAGGAAAACGCTCTTGTTGAGTTAAAAAGTGTGATGTGACAATTTACAAAGTGACATTATAAAAGTACTTTCCTGTCAAAAAAAGTAGGTATTCAGTAAGAATATCGTGAATGAGTGAAAATTATGCAATAGATTTGAATTAGTTACTTACGTTCCACAAAGGAAGTGAAGAGCATCCTAAACCTGCTAAGCCGACTGCCTTCATCTGCCCACATCCGTATCACTCCCACTCCTGTTTTCAGCATTACATCATTAGCCACAGTGCTACAAAACTTGGCCTTCAGATTTTCAATAGCACTGCTTCCATCATAGACCGCCACAAAATTTCTCTTGCATTCATTTGAGTGTTCCATTTGGTAATCTAAGAACCTCAAATAAATCTGTAATATCAAAACATAAGAGTTTTTAAAAAAAATACTTAAATTATTCTATTTTACGATTCGGTCAACATAGTAGACTGAATTGTAATGATTGACTGAAAAACACAATGACAGAAGGATGATACCTCAGTAGTTAAAGGCCTAAAAATAACAGTCTTACAAATGGATCTAAAGTTTAGGCTTTTTTTTTTTTAAACAAAGAGTATTCTTACATAATCTAATCTCATTATAATGATAATTTCGTGGTATTAATATATAAAGGAAATAAAAGAATTGCTCAAAGTTTTTCTATTCTAACAGTTATTAGTGGTACTTGGTGCCGAACTCACAGTGGCTGTGAACCTCTAATACAGGTGCTGGGAACAGAGCCAGCTCCTCTGGGAGAGCAGCAAGTGATCTTACCTGCTGAGCTACCTCTCCAGCTCCCAAGGGTAAGAATCTGAAAAGGCTGATTTGTGTTTAAAGTGTGTGTTTCTCAACTTTAAGGGAAGCCTTACATTTACACACACATACATATATTCTCACTTTTTGTCTCTACTTGCTTTGTCGGTGGTATAATTAAAATTTCCTTGTGTGAAAAGCAGTATTGCCTCTGACTTGTCACTGGACTCAACCTCCCAGATGTCACTCATGAGGCAGTGGTAGTCTTTCTACCCTTAAAAGGCTTAACCCAACAAAACCATGGCAAAATAGCATCCTACATAGCAAACTCTTGACTAGCCTGAACTACATGAGACTCTGCCCCCCCAAACCCCCCAAACCAATCAAACAAAACTACCTATAGTGAAACCCAAAACAAGCTTGGCGAAGTGGTGCCCACCTGTAATCCTAGTACTCGGGAAGTGGAGGCAAGAGTACCAGGAACTCATGCTTGCCTCACACGCCAAGTTCAAGGGTCTCCCTGGGCTACATAATAGCCCAGTGAGAAATCAAAAGTAAAAATATTAAAAATAATTAACATTAATATTAAAATAAAGTATATTTTAAAATTTTAAAATTATGTTTACTATTTGTCTATGTCTTGGTTGGCTTTTGTCAACCTGACACAAACCTAGGAAACAGAAACATCAATCGAGTAATGCTTCCATCAGATTGCCTGTAGGGAAGTCTGTACAGGTTTTTCTTATTTAATGATTGATGTAGGAGGACTCAGCTTGTAGTGATATTTTGTTTGTGTTTTAACAAATAAACTTGCCTGAAGATCAGAGTGCAGAGCTAAGCCACTAGAGACCAGGCCAGAGGGAATCTCTGTTAGTTCAAGGCTACCCTGGGCTACATGAGACTGAATCTGTCTAAAAGAGAAACAGAGCTCACACAAAGGTGATCCCTGCGACTCCATGTCTTTAATCCCAGCACTAGGGAGGTAGAGACAGGAGTGATATGGCTGGGTGGAGAGAGGAATATAATGCAAAAGGAGACAGGAGCTCATGGCAGTCTGAGGTTTGTGGGAGACAGCAGCAATCTGGAGATGCAGTCTGAGGACAGGCTCACCCCTTTGGTCTGAGCATTGATAAAGGTAAAAGAACTCTATAGTTGCTGGCCACTATACTTCTCTGATCTTCAGCATTAACCCTATATCTGACTCTGGGTTATTATTATTAATACCAATTAGAATTTGTAATACATCTGCCCACTGTAGGAGGTGCCATATCTGGGCAGATTATCCTTGGTATATAAGAAAGCAAACTGAGCAAGTCTGTAAGCAGTCACATGGAGGCTCACAATTGTCTGTAAATACAGTTCCAGGGGATCTGATGCCCTCTTCTGACTTCTGAGGGTGCCAGATATGTACGTGGTACACTTATATACACGGAGACAAACACATACACATAAAATTAAAAAAAAACCTTTACCTATATTTTTACTGACCCTTTAAAAGGTAGGATTCTACTATGTAGTTCCAGGTGGCTTAAATTCGCTGAAGCTGGCCTGGAACTTGTCATCTTCTTGCCACTCTCTCCTGCACTTTGCAATTACAGGCATGTGATACCACCACACCCAGCTTATTTCTTTCTTTTTTTCTTTTCTGAGACAGGGTTTGTGTAGCCTTGGTTGTCCTAGAACTAAAGGGGGTGTGCCACCACTGATTGGTTTATTTTTATTTTTAGTAAACACACAGTAATTGTTCCATTCAAACTATCCTATGTAATGACTAAAGCTGATAAGCATATAGCAATTACTCTACACATTTACCATTGTGTTAGAAATACAAAAACAACCTCTGTCATTTTTGTTGCAATACGCAGAGAATTGTCCACTAATTATCCCATAGGACCCCAGTACCTGTCAGTCATTCTTTCCCTTCCTCTTCCCTGCTTTCCAGGCTGGGCTCATCACTATTCTACTCTCTAATGAGACCAGCTGTTTTTAGCTTCCACATTGTAAGTGAGCACGTGTAACACCTGTCTATATCTGACTTAATCTCATCTAGGCTCAGAATGTCTGTACTTCATTTTCATAGCTGAATAATATTCTACTGTGTATATATAACCCCTTTTGTCCATTCGTATATCTGTTGACTTCATAGCTTGGCTTCTGTAAACAGCATTGAAACACCAAAGTGCAATCATCTCCTTGAACACTGACTTGTTTTCCATTTGGATATATCCGGTCACAGAGGAGCTAAATCCCATGGCAGTGCTGTATATAGTGTTCCGAGGAAGCCCTACACTGTTTCCATAGTGGCTTCAACTAATAGACATTTCATTAAACAAGGTACAGGAGTTACCTTTCCTCAGTCTCCTCAGTATCTGCTACTGAATTTTAGGTAACAGCCATTCTAATTGGTCAAATTTTCATTTATTTTGTAATTAATAGTGGTGCGTAGCTATTTCTGAAATCTATTGGCTATTTGCATATTTTTATTAAAAACTCAAAGTATGTTATTTATCAAAAATGATACAGTTCAGAATTATAATATATACTGAAAAGAACAAATGCCTGGCATGTTACTGAGATTCAGGGACAATAAATTAATATTACCAGGTGCTTTCAGTGCTTTCAAAATTATTTTAAATATATACCTAACAACCTTTATACTATAATTTGAATTGCTAAAATTCTTGTTTAAAGAATAAAATACACAATTAAACAGCACTTACAAGGAACTACATTTTATAGGGATATTCAGAGAAAAGCATAACTTAAAGTTTAGGTCTCCCAGTAATAGCCCCTCACGGAGTCACATATGGACACTGCTCATTTAAGGACCTATTTTGCACTGAAAATGCCTTATACCTTGACACAGCATTAAAAGGACTTACACAAACTATACTATAAAGGAACTCATTTGTAAGCATTTTTCTTTTCTATAAGCACATGTAATTTGTTTACTTATACATGTATACATTATAGGCTAGGATCTGCGTATGAGGAAGATCATGAGAACTTTTACTGAGACTGGGTGATACTGATTAAGATGATATTTTCTAAGTCTATTAATTTTCCTTCAAATTTTGTGGTTTCATTTTTCTTTTAGGCTGTTCCATTTTAAATATATACCATATTTTCATTATCCATTCATGTGTTGTTGGGCAACTAGGTTAGTTCTACTTCCTTGTTATAGTGAAGAGAGCAGCAATAAATATGGGGAATGCAAATATGATAGGTAAGGAGTTCTCTGGTCTACGTCTAGTAAAATAGCTGGGTCAGATGAGAGCCCTACTTTTAGTCCCCCCCCCCCCCGCCCCCTGGAATCCCTAAACTGATTTCCATAATGGTTGTGTTAATGTGTACTCTCATGAACCATGAAAAGAGTTCTTCTTTCTTATCTATGGCATCTATAACCAGTTAGGTTCTCTTCTCTTCTCTTCTCTTCTCTTCTCTTCTCTTCTCTTCTCTTCTCTTCTCTTCTCTTCTCTTCTCTTCTCTTTCTTTCTCTCTCTCTCTCTCTCTCTCTCTCTCTCTCTCTCTCTTTCTTTCATTCTTTCTTTTGAGACAGGGTTTCTCTGTGTAACAGCGCTAGCTATTCTGGAACTCACTTTGTAGACCAGGCTGGTCTTGAACTCACAGAGATCCTCCTGCCTCTGCCTCCTGAGTGCTGGGATTAAAGGCGTGCACCACTACCACCTGGCGAGAGGTAGTATCTTAAAAACAGCTTTAAACTACATTTATATAATGACCAGGGAGGCTGAACATTTTAGAAAATAATTATTGGTCATTTGTATTTCTTTGAAAACTGTCTATTAGCCCATTTGCTGACTGACAGTTTTATTTATTTGGTATTTAATTTCTGCAGTTCTTTTTTTTGCATATTAGCTCCTTATCTGAGGTAAAGATTCTCTCCCTTTCTGTAGGCTGTGTGCTCTACCGACAGTTTCCTTAGCTGTTCAGCAGTGGCAGTGGTTTTTTTTTTTATTTAAATGTAGATCCCCTGTTGACACTTGGTGCCTCTTCCTGTGCAATTCAATTCCTGGCTTCAAACAATATTGTAGGACTATAGTGATAAAGAAGGCCTTGTACTACTACTACAGAGAGGTCAATCAGAACCCAGGAGTAAACCAACAAAACTATGCCCACACCTAACTGACAAAGGAGTCAGAAACTTTCACTGGGGGAAAAAACAGTCTATTCAATAAATAGTGATGGTAAAACTGGACCTCTACCTGCCAAAGAATAGAATTAAATTTATATCATCCACATTATACAAAAATCAAATAAAAATTGATCAAAAACCTTAATTTAGAATGTGAAGCACTGAACCTTTCAAGGAGAGAGAATTTAAGACAGCTTTTTGCTGTTTCTGGGTTGCGTGCCGCAAAGAAATTGTCCTGACTCGGCAGCAGGAAAAAACTGGCTGTTTTAAAATGCTGGCTTTCAGGGCTGTGCCGCCATTGCGATCTCTGTCTGGCTCCTGCGGGAGAAAGAGCTTTTGAATGGAGCATTTGGACTAAAGCTCTACGGCAGTGTGGACTGCTGTGTGCCTGGAACTGTGTGTGGCTCAGGGGCACCAAATGGCTCTGAGGCAGGAGCAGCTCAGCTCTGCCATGCTGAACTGAGCAGGAACTCAAGCAGGAACTACCGTAATTACTGTGATAACAGCGCACTTAAGGTTTAGACTGGGCAGGACACAGGCAGTACCGTATTACCTGTACATGGTGCAACTTAAGTTTTTAAGAAATGCTTAACATTTTAAGAAATGATCCTGGATAGTAAAAAAATTACAGATTCACAATAGAACAGATTCAGACACTGTTGGATGAATGTACGTAGGCTTGGGAGAGAGAAGAAAAAGAATATAAAGAATAAAGTTAATGTCTTAAAAAGAAAAAGGGTAAAGTCTTTAAAGAGACAGAGTACAGAAGTACAGATAGTTATAGATTAAAAGAAATAAAGAAAAATAAGCCACGTAAAAATGGAAAATTCACAGAGAGTCTGGATTATGTACATTGTGTTTTCTTTAAAATTTTTGACTGTGAAGGAGCTAAGTACAGAGAGACATTCCATTATATGGGCTGCTAAGCTGAACCTGCACATATGTTCTAAAGGTATCTTGACTTCAGAATTTGGATCTAAGGTTATGATGCTTTGGAAAAGTCCTTCTTTTGTTTTTGCAGAGGATGTGACCCTGTGGATTTCTTCTGTTCCAATTTGGTATGATAGACCACGCCCTCCTGAAAGGTTGCTGTGAACACCCTCAAAAAATTGCTTCGCTCAATTGCCAACTGAGATGAAACTAGCACACAGGTTATATCATGAACGACCTAATTAACGACGCCCCTATTCAGCAGGAAGCAGTTTGGAGAGAAAAAACTACGCCCATGTTCCCAAATATTGTTTATAAATGTTCTTTTACATTTAAAGGGGGATATGATATAGATATGAATAATTTGCATTGGTATGGATTTTAAGGTCAATTTTGTTATATGTATATGTATTTCTGATCTTGATTAAGGTATTGTGATCGTGTAGTTCATTTAAAAATGTAATGTATAATTGGGAAATATAGGTTGTTAATGGATAATCATTGCTAATAGTAAAGCTTGTAGTCATGTTAGATTTTCTAGATATATAGAGATATATTTCAGTTAGATAGACATTCTTCATATCTCTCAAAGACTGCAGAATATGGCATTTAAATGTTTTAATAACTTAGGGCTTTTCATGACAATGAGACATGTCTGCTCCTGGCAGCACCAATCTACTTCAAGAGGAAGATGGGCATCGAAGAGGATCCTTATGGAGTTTGATAGCCATTTGGGCAAGAAACTGCTCTTGCCTGGACTATTACATAAACTGGACACAGAGAACCCGCAGAGAGAGGACTACTGAACTTGCCTAAAAGTGAGATGATCTTTCAGGGTTCCTGATTCATGAAAGAGTCTGCGAGACATTCTGCAGGACACAGAAGAAAATGACTGAACTGTCTTTGAAATTTCCTGCTTCATGGAAATGTCTCTGGATACCATGGGCCTGTAGGCCGAAGATGGATGCCCCAACAGTACAGAGGAACTTTGGGTGACTGTCCAGGCAGCGGAATGTCTCTGTCATTTCTAGAGTTTTGGATTTCTTGTTTACTTAGGTATTATTATATCTTTCTGGAGTCTTTGATGGAGTTGAAGAATGAATAGATAGTTATAGTTTTCCTTAATTATGATAAAAGATAAAATAGATATAAATATTGTAACTGTAATTCTTACTTGATAACTGTTTTGTTATATGTAATTTTACTATGTTAAAGTTAAAGCCTTTCTTTTTTGTTTAAACAGAAAAAGGGGAAATGATGTGGGAATGATTTCTTATTAATAAAGAAACTGCCTCGGCCCTCATAGGACAGAAAATTAGGTGGGTGGAGAAAACAGAAGAGAATTCTGGGAGAAAGAAGCTTAGTGATGGAGTCGCCATGATTCTCCCTCTCCAGACAGACGCAGGTTAAGATCCTCCCTGGTAAGCCAGCTCGTGGGCTACATAGAATATTAGAAATGGGTTAGAACAATATGTAAGAGCTATCCAATAAGAATCTGGAACTAGCCGGGCCAGGCAGTGTTTGAAAGAATACAGTTTCCGTGTAATTATTTCTGGGCATAACCTAGCCATGCGGGCGGCCGGGTGCCGGGGACGCAGCCCCGCCGCTCCTTAATTCAACACCCTAGTATTTGAATGGAGCCCATTCTCTTTGGAGGGATATTTTGCTCAGCCTAAATACGAAGGGCGGTACTGGGGAAGGCTTTGGTCCTGCCTCAAAATGATGTGCTAGACTTTGTTGACTTCCCAAGGGAGGCCTTACCCTCTCTGAGGAGTAGATGGTGGGGGGAAAGGTGAAGGGAGCTGGAGTCTGGGAGGGAGTGGGAACTAGGAATGTAAAATGAGAAAAGATTGGTAAAATAAAATAAAATAAACAGTTCTGGCTGTGTAAGAGGCCTCAAATGGTTACACAAGCCCTATGCTTTATTTCTTTTTTTCAGAGTTAGTGTTAAAACCAAACTCCTTGTATGTCCATCCCTGACCCCTGGGCAGTAATGAGTAACTGAAATTGCCAGAGGCATTTGTATCAGTTTTATTTTATTGTACTAATATACAGTTGTCTGTTTTCATAAGAATTACTGGTTTTATTTTGAACTTGTATTTGCTTTCTGGGGAATACCTGATAAGTTCTGTCCAATATTTCCAATTGTTTTTGGTCTATTTTAAAACATTTAAGGCTATTAATCATTTCCATAATTATAAATCTCATTTTTATTTTTATTTTTTTTGTGGGAGGGTCAGATCTCACTTATGTAGCCCAGATTGATTCCCAAATCATGATACGTTCTCCCAGTTCCATTTTCTTTTCTTCCCCCCTTTTATATATGCATACATTAAGTCTAATTTTATTTCTGTTGATAATCCTAGAAGTACCAATTGAAAATAAAAGCAAAGGTAGTCAGCGATCATCCTCAAAGTCATTGAAAGGCACTCTTTCTCACAGCATGGTTCCATAACAGTTTCACCATCACAGAGGGCAGCAGCGAGAACACAGACGGGAGTGAGATTCAATGATGTATTTCAACTTATATGACCAACTCTTTAAGACATATTAACTTCTTCTAGCCTAAAGGTCCTTGCCATATAAGGGGGAAGACATTTTGTACATATGTGTGTGTTATGTCTGTACATGTGTAGCCAGTAACTTCTTCTCTTGATATTACCTAGTTATTTTTTGAGACAGGGTTTCTCACTGAACCTTGGAGCTCCCCTTCTGAGCTAGACTGGCCGAGTAGCACGCCTCTGGGAGCCGCCTGTCTCCCTCCCTCCTTGTACGGAAGTGACAGATGTGTGTGTGCTACCACAAAGGGCCCTGATTATGTGGGTGCTGGAAATCTGAACTCAGGTCCTCAAGACTGCACAGCGAGCACTCTACTCACCAAGCCATCTCCCCGGGCCCTTAAAGCACAGAAACAAAATGAATCCAACCAACCAAAACAAACACATAACCAGGCCCAACAAGTGGTTGATCAATACTTGTATTCATTAGTTGAGACTCCACGGATTTTTTAAAAATTGTAATACTCCCAGATTAAAAATCTTAATATGGAGTTGATAAGATGGCTCAGGAGGTAAAAAGATTGTTATGTAATCCCAATAACCTGAATTTAACTCCCAGAACCCACATAAAGGTGGAAGGAGAAAACCAACTCCATGAAGTTGTCCTCTGACTTCCAAAGGTGTGCTGTGGCATGTATGTCTTTGTGCACACAATACTTAAAAATTAAAGAAGAATCTTAATATATGTATAAATTTTTTAATTGTTTCTATCTCAGTTTATTTAACTGCAAAACCACTATGGTCTTAGTAGGTGCCCAATAGAGGAAATGAAACAAAAAAATTTAGAGTCACAAATATTTACATGATTCATACAGTACATTATAGAAATCATGTCTCTTTAGGTCCTTCTCTGAGTAAGTCAACGTATAATAAACAATACCTTAGCTTTTGGGGTGGCTTTAATTGTCCAAATGCAATCAACTGCTTGGCCAGGTTTTGTTTTTTCTTCTTGTTCTACCTGGCTAGAACGTATTATTCCATCAGCTCCTGAGAGCTCAAACTGGCAATCTAGAAAAAAAAAGAAAAGATATTCAAAGAAAAATAAGACTAGTAAAAAATGTCACAGGAAGAAAAAGGTAATATACTAAACCTGGGATGGGATTTAAAATACCTCCAAGGTAAGTAAAGTCTGGATCTGCAACAGAAAAGAGAAGAAAGTCATTGGTGCTGAGCTTCTTTCAGACCTAACAGATCTAACGCTTTACCACATCGCAACATTAGGAGCATTGTTATTGATAGATGCTGCATATCCCTAGCCATCCGTGACAATGCTTATGGGGCTGGCATTTAATGGAAATTTGTAACTTTTTATTTAATTACGCATGCTTTACTACTGAAAATATCAACTGTCAAATGTAATAGCTAGTCCACTAACATATGAACAGATGAATAAAATATGGTACATTTAATACAATGGAATACTATTAGTCTTAAAAGGAATAGATTTCTTTTGTGTTGAGCTATATTAAATGTTTTCTAAAATATCTGCTTTAATTAGTAGTGGTGATATTCGCAAAATAATATACCCAATGCTATTGAGTTATAAATAGTTCATATTTAATCACGGTCAAATGTTCTTTTGAAATATATTACACAGATGCATCAATATTTATTTCTAAGTTAAAATAGAAATTACAAATCTAAGACTCTATATGTTGTTACAGAATATTATTTTAAGGTGTGTTACATTTGTTTATGCTCTGCAACAATATATGCTCTAAAAACTAATTTACATACATGGTTTACTCCAAGTAAGAGGGCACTCAATTCTTACTAATACTGTCTTTAATTGAAGATATTTCAGCAAGTTACCAAATTACATATTGGAAAGTGGAGAAATAAACTATTGGCTTAACTTCAAATACATTTCAGTGATTGATCTTTTTAAACTAAAACTAAATTCATCCTTGTTTAAAGAGTCAACTAGTGGACACCAGTTCTTTTGCAAGAAAAAAAAATCAAAGCAGAATTAAAATCTTAAACTATACTGGGGAAAAGCTATAGGATCTTTTTGGAAAATTAATCAGAATTTTTTCTTTCTTTTTGGAAATATTTATTTATTTAGAGATAGGGTCTCTTTCAGGCTGGCCTTGAACTCACAAGTTTCCTATCTACCTTGCTACTGTAGTGTGTATAGGCTGGCCTTAAACTCTCTATGTAGTGTGTAAATGGAAATATGCCTTTAAATAACAGCAAAATAAACACAGCTGCTCTTTAGCTCATGATGTATCACATATTTATTGATATGAGTTTGTTTTCTAAGTTTAGAGATAAAACTGGGGAATCCCTGTCCTACAGAAAAGGAAATATGACACATTAGAAGAAATAACCTAGGAAAGTCAATATAGTCCTGGATTGCTACTGTATAGAAAAGTACTTAATTCCTAAGCTTCCTCTATATATTCTATAAAACAGGATATTATATAATCTTTATGCTATTTCCATTAGTATAAAATTTAATGTAGGTAGTACCAGAAGACCTATAAGGTACAAAGATAAAATATTCCAGAAATTCCAAGCAGTTTTACCTATAAACTGTATAAAAATTTCTCATGATATGTAAAAAGCACAAAACAAAACTATTTTCGTTCAAAATGAGTGTCTTTACATATAAAGTTAGATGATTTAAGTTAATTAATTAGGGGTGTGTGTGTCAGAGGACAACTTGCAGAAGTCAGTTCTCTCCTGCCACCTTGTGGGAGTCTGTGGATTAAATTCAGTCTGCCTGGCCTTTGTGCAAATGCTGAGCCATCTTTCCAGCCCTAAATTTGGTTGATTATTAAAAAATATTTTAAAAAGACTATTAAAAATTGTGTATGTATGTAGAGGCCAGAGGTCTACTTGGGTATCTTCCTCTCTCATGCTCCAATTTTTTGTTTTGTTTTAATAAGAAACAGATCTCTCATTGTACTTAACAATTCTCTCACAGAACCTAGAGTCTGAAGTTTTTGGCTGGACCAGCACAGGTCAGAGCTGCTAGGATCTACTTGGTTTCAGTGCTGGGCTACAGGTGTGTGCATTTTTACATGGTTTCTTTTACATGGAAGTATAGCCTTCAAGTGCACAGCAAGCAGTTTAATCACTGGAACTTCTTCCCAGATCCTGAAAAAAACACCTTTTACTGTCTATTTTGTTGTTTCAGGAACTTATAACTCGTAAAGATGTGATTCATATGTAAGATTTTGTAATAGCATTTCCGACACTAAAATGATTACTTCAGTTAATTTAGATTGTAAATATTACATGCCTGACCTATTTAAGCAAATCATTTTTTTTTTACACTTTATTAGAATCGGCTGGTCCAGCTCTGTGAACAAGTTTACAGGGAGACTATCCTTTGTATCACTGAGTCAGCCATTCTTCTTAACTTTGCCATTTTGAGAAAACAAGTTACTACATTTTACTTGTAATAAATTCCAAATAAAATATACCACGTTAACTATGGTTTTTGAGATAGTCTTGCATATAGCCCAGGCTGTGCTATCTGCATTTCTCAACCTCCTGAGCAGCTGGGATCATAAGTGTGTGGCACCATTCCTAGCTATGCTAACAATTTTTTGATGTACAGTTCAGTGGTTTTAGTACACTTACATAGTTGTATTGTTCATCAATCACCCTTTTTATTTTCAGAACTAGTTTCCACCATCAGAAAGGAAAGTCTGTAGTCATTAATGTACCAATTTTCTACTTTCTATTCCATAAATTTGCCTACTTGATGTCAGACCACAGTACAAGAATGGAGTTGTGTGATAATTTGGAGTGCTTGTGAGAAACTCCAAGAAAACAAGAGTTTAGTGACCTCAGTTTCTTCAAAACACAGAACTGTTTCTAGAATGTTCTTTTGCCTTTCTCCCAGGTATAGCAGATAGGAGTGAGTTTGCTTCTGCTGTTGTTATTCATGTGCTTCTCTGAAAAAGCATGTCTTGGCCAAGTATGGCCTGTCCTTGTAATTGAGTACCTTACTCATGTGATCCTTCCTAACCCTCAGGTATAAACTGTCTGATGCTCTGAATAAAGTTGGCTACTGCATGAGACTTTAGTCAACCTCATTATTAGGAACCCGCTTTCCCAGGTTCATGTCACCAACTAGAGCAGCAAACAACTTTATATAACTTACACAATTGGACTTAGACAACTGGATTTGCCTTTTGTTTTTAAATAATTTTCCTTAGCACATATCATAATTCACCTTGGGGCCCACTTGGTAGAGAACTGATTTCTTCAAGTTGTCTACCAACCTCTGCCCATGCACAGTGACAAACATATACACAATAAATGTAACACACCACACACCCTATCGACTATCAAGCCATGGAAAAACCTTATGTTCATATAATTAAGTGAAAGAAGTTGACCAGAGTGCCAACATACTGCATGATCCCAACTGTGCATGATGACATGGAAATGGTAAACCAAGAAAGAGGCCAGTGATTGCCAGCAGTTTAGGGGGAGGAAGGGTGTGTAGTGAGTGGAACACAGGAAAATTTTAGGCAGTCAAACTTCTCTGTATAACAGTGGATATATGCTATTTATCAAACTCATCAGACATATAATACCAAGGGTGAACTATATTGTAAGCTAAAGACTTTGGGTAATTATGATGTGCCCGTGTTGGTTTATGGATTCTACCAAAGATACCATTCTTTTGGAAAGATGTGGATATAGGGGAATGGAGGGGCTTATCCAATAATTACTCCTGCTTAGTTTTGTTGTGATCCTAAAATTGTTATTAAAGTTTATTAGGGGGGGCTGGAGAGATGGCTCAGAGGTTAAGAGCATTGCTTGCTCTTCCAAAGGTCCTGAGTTCAATTCCCAGCAACCACATGGTGGCTCACAACCATCTGTAATGAGGTCTGGTGCCCTCTTCTGGCCTGCTGGCATACACACAGACAGAATATTGTATATATAATAAATAAATATTAAAAAAACCATGAAGTTTATTAGGTGAGTTTGACTGTTTGAAAATACTGTCCTTTCAGTATTAGACAGATGATACAGGTGCAAAAATCTTACATAATGTTTATTGATTCAGATACAAAGTTGTTTGATTTTTAAGGAAAAAAATGCTGGTAATAGTTTTATGCATAGCATGACCAGTTTTGTAAAAATAAACTGAATAAAGAAATTCATCTTAAGAGGTAACTGCCAAATTGTTAGCAATAATTTTAAACATAAAGGGACAGGATTATAATTAGTTTCATTTGTGTATTTTTCAACTAAATTTCTTCCATTATAAAAAAAAACAAAACTAAAGATTATACACTTGCTGTACAAGGTTGTTTGCTCATTCTGTTATGTTTGCAAACTCCTTGGGCACAATAACATACTAATTTCTGAATTTCCACATTAGTGTATATGTACTTTTCACTGGGTAGGGCTTTAGAGTTCTCACAGTATTTGATCAGTGTTTTTACCTAAAAGGTGTAGCTAAGATGATGCAGTAGGCTGACGGTGTAGTAGTGTCCAGATATATCCACATCCAAATCTCTGTGAATTTTACTATATATGGTTATTAAAAAGAGTGACTATTACATTACAACATAAAATACATCAATAAGAATTTTAAGAAGACTGAGTTTGAAGAGATGGATCATCGATTAAGAGCACTTGCTGCTCTTTGCAGGGAGAACTGGAGTTTTGTTCCCAGAACCCATAAGGCAGCTCACAACCACCTGTAGCTAGCTTCATGGGACATAATGCCCTCTTCTTGTCTTTGTAGGCCCTGTGCATAAGTGTATGCAGACACACACACACACACACACGCACACATCACATATAGAAATAAAAAAAAGAATTTTAAGAAAAGCTGTGAAGTGAGAAGTCAGAGCAATATGGTCACAAACACAGAAAGACAATGGAAGAGATAAAGAACAGATCCAATGGGGTGTGGTGGTGCACACCTTTAATCTCAGCACAGGCAGGTGGAGTTCGAGGCTAACATGGTCTACATAGAGAGTTCGAGGTCAGCTTAGCGGTACATAAAGACTGTCTCAATTTCCCACCTGTACCCCCAAACAAAACAAGTTTTGTTCTTTGAGCTAGGCTTTTCTGGATTTTGGAATTTTTGGCTTCTAGAACTACAATGCGTATTTCTCTTTTCCTAAGTTACCAGATGTGTATAAACTGGTTATGTCAGATCCAGGAGGTGAATTCAGGTATTGCTACATCTCAGGTACAACTTCATGATTCAATGTTATAGCTACTGAGTAGTAGAGAAAAGACAAACCAAATCTAGCCCTCTTAAATGCAGGTGCAGGAGTATTTCTATTGTTAAGTAGTTTCTAAAGTAATTATAATGAGTTCAATTAAAAATCTGCCTTTGTGGGAATTGTGAAAAGACAGTGGATTCAATTATTTAAAGGTATATATTTATTTTGATGTTGTTGGTCTTAGATGTGTGTCCTAAAAGGTATATAAGAAGAAAATGCAACTTTGTCTGATCTACCACAGAATTAGACTGGGATGTGGTCTACTGCTCCCTATTTTAAAAAGTTTTTACTTGTTCCTAGACTGATTTTCTTTTGACTTTGACAATTTCTTTAGTCTTAATCTGATTACCTTGATCAAATTATCCTTTTCTAACCTTAAGATTCTAAAGTCAGTGGTATACTCAAATACTGAAAGGTAATTTATTTTTTAAGAACGCTTAATTTGTTACCTGGGATGAATGAGTATTTTGCTCGAAATCCTAGTCCTTCAAGTTCTTCATCAGAACTAAATTTAATCCACATGAATCTTCCTGTTGACCTAATTAACGAAGGGCTTTTCATGCCACAGTAACGATCTATGAGAGGTGAGAAACCAAATGGCCCATCTCGAACTTCCAAGTGATCAAAGCGACATTCAAATGATGGCTCTATATAATAGCGTTCGTCAAAGGTCAGCTCTATCCGTTGACGAGGAGCAGCTATAAAGTAAGAGTAGGCAAACAGGGCAGCATGAACAAGACACACGTGTGGACAAGCAAATCAATCACGTCAGTGCTTCACATCTGAGAATCTCACTGGGAACTGTGTATGCAAAGCCGTAAGAAAAGCTCTTTCGCAGGAATAATCATACTATGTTATAGAATTATAGTAACATTTCCTTGGTATATGTCATTACTTTAGTTAAATATATTTGATTGACTCAAATTAGCAGAGGTAAAAGGCTAATTCTTGCTTACTTTAAAAACAATGTACAGTGTGTCATATGTGATACAGAAAGCAAATGTGCTCAGCATGAACAGAAAGCCCAGCAGGGACGCTGGTGAACTTACATTCCTTATCAGGGAAGTTTCTCATACAGCGATGCACATAGTTTAACTATAGTTTAAATAATTACAAATTCTCATTAAAATTAACTATTATTTTGTTAATGTATTTGATATTTACAAATATTTATCTTTATTATAATTTAATTCACAAACATATTTAAAATTTGTTCTAACTGGTTTAAACAAGGCACTTAGCGAATGTCCTCAGTTTTATAGCGAAGTAGAAGTTTATCCAAGAAAACAGATTTGTTAAATACCTTCCAAAATATAGATACACTCCTTGTTTGGTGGATATGAGTCAGGATAATTTGGTGAAGCAAAATGACCTCCATTGCTGGTTCGAACCCAAATGCCACACTGGGTTGCAGGAATGTGCTTGATTCCAATGTTCTGTCCATCTTGAAGGGAATTTTAAATACCATTACAGCAAAATATAAGAAGCATTCTTTTCTTTCCCCCCAACACCCTAAACAATTGCCTTCTCAGTTGCATATATAACTTCACGAGAACCACTGACAAATTTAGTAAAACCAACTGATCACAGCAGAAGTGGAAGAAAGCTGTTGTATATTATACTTATTTTGAAGGCTTGATGGTAAAGGATACGTTGGCCACAAAAGGCACCTGCCACCAAGTCTGACAACCTGAGTTTGATTCTTGGAAGCCATATAGTGGAAGAACAGAAACAGCAAGCTGTCCTCTGACCTCCACACCCATGTAAGTTTCACCATTACTTTGGTGAAAGTAAAGCAGAATTAATGGACTGGTACAACCAGGTGCAGCTGAGGTGAAAACAGCAATTGAAAATTGGGAGGCTGGTGAATGGTAATGAACTCACAGACAGTCCCAGCTTTCTCCCACTTGGTCTGTTGAAGCAACAGAGACTCTGACAGCAAACAGAGACTTATATTTTGGGAATCCAATCTATCTAAGAAAGGGTTAATCATACAGATCAGAGAGTCCCAAATGTCAGTTCAAATCCCAGATGAGAGCCACGGTAAACACATCCTACCCATACCTACAGACAACTCATGGTCAGCTTTTCAGTGCCCCCATTAAAATATTAAGTACAAATGCAAGGACAACCAGGAATTTGAAGAAAGCTTCCAGTATGAAAAACATGTTGGAACACATGGAATAAAGCAACCCTGAGTAAATAAAGCAAGGAAATGAAAACAAACAATAAACCCAAGTTATCAACCAATGAGTAACAACAGGGTTTCATGCGATTTCTCCAGAGACAGAAAAGCAAATACAGTCATAAAACAAAAACAAAAATAATTTCTTTTTTTTTTTAAAATAGACGCAAGCTCCATCAAACAGAGAAAATCAAAGCACGAGAAAGTTTAGAGCAGAGGTGTGATGCCATAGGTGTGTGTTGAGTTTTACTGGAACATATTAATACTCTTCAACTGCTCATTTTGGTTGCTTTCACAACAAAAGAACTGGGTAACTGTTTCAGAGACAGGCTCATAGAAGCTTAAATATTTATTGGCTCTTTCCATAAAAAGTTTTGTAATTGTTAGTTTATGGAATAAAAATTAAAGAAGTCTCCCCAGATTGAAACAAAAATATGTGTGAAAATATATATAAATTAAATATATAGTGAATTCATTATGTTGAACTTCATAATAAACTCAGCACGTTGTATGTTAATTTTAAAAAACAGCAATATAACCCCCAAAAGGCTGTAAGTATTATAATAATAGGAATTCCCTTAAAACACTAGAGAAAAAAAAAAGAAAAAAAACACTAGAGAAAATGAAGGAGGAATTTTTTTATTATTAGTTAATCAGTTAATTTTTCCCCAGTCCAATCAGTTTCCCCTTCCTCTTTCCTCCTTCTCTTAGTCCCTCCTGTCCCCGCCCCAACATCGACTCTCTCTTCCTTCCTGGATGAGGAAATTTTAGAAACTGAACAAAACCAAAATATTTCTAAACCTAAAGACAAATTTGTATTGAGAAACTTTGATGAGTGGTTTAAATGCTGATTTTTGCTTTTCTTACTTCCTTCCTCTCTTTCTTGAAAAAAATTATATTTTTTGAGACAGGGTTTTTATGTGTCACTCCAGCTGTCCTGGAACTCACTTTGTAGACCAGGTTGGCTTTGAATTTAGAGATCTGCCTACCTCTGCCTCCCGAATGCGGGGGTTAAAGGAATTCGCCACCACCACTCAGTCATAAAACTATTCTTGTTGCTACTTCATAACTATAATTTTGCTATGATTATGAATCATAATCATAATGGAAGTAGTTTTTGGAGATAGAGGCTTGCCAAAGGAATCTTGACCCACTGGTTGAGAACCACTGGTTTAGAGGATTAAAAGTTCATGTTTCGCAAGGTGATGGCATGACTTCAGTCTCCACGACTCAGAGAGTGGTAGGAGAGAACCCACTTCCCAATGTTATCCTGCTCTACAGATGTGAACTGTAGCATATGTGTGTCTACCTTTCCCCACACAAAATAGAAACAAAGTTTAAAATAGTTGTGGTTTTCATAAAGCAGGAAGAATAGAATGAAAAACAATTTTTCCAATTGTTTATATAGTTTGATTTTTATCATGTGAACATATCACTTTGATGAAAATAAAAAACAAAATTGTACAGAAAATGCACTAACTCTAACATGAAAATTTGCTTTAAAAAAATCACAATAGCTATTCTTCAAAGTCAGACAGTACAACAGGACCAAAGGGCTTTGAAGACTGTACTGAAAGACTTTTCTTGTTTACACTAGAAAAGACCCTTTTTTAGTCTTCTTAGTGATAAAACTGTAAATTTCATTTAAATTTTGGATATAATTAACAGTGTGTTAAAAGTTATTAGTGATGGTGGCTTTTAAGAAGCTTATCAGGGCAAACATTCTGCAGACAATTTAGTAGCTGATTCTGGTTAAGTTGATAGGTTAATAGAATGCTTTTGGTCATTGGAATGATTAAGAGGAATGTGTTAGTATTTTTTATCAACTAAGCCAGGGTCATCTACGAGGGCACCTCAGTTGTCTGTGGGCATTTTCTTGACTAATGATTGATGTCGGATGGATCAGCTCACTGGGTAGGGCCACCATGGCAGCTGATTCTGGGTCCTGAAAGAAAGCAGACTGAGCAAGCCTGGGAGAGTAAGCCAGTAAACAGCACTCCTCCATGGCCTCTGCATCAGCTCCTGCCTCCAGGATCCTGCCCTGACTCCTGCTCTGACTTCCCTTGATGATGCTTTGTAATGTGAAACTGTAAGCCAAATAAATCTTTTCCTCTCCCAAGCTGTTTTGGTCATGATATTTTATCACAGTAATAGAGAGGAAACTAAAACAAAGGATTATGAAATAGCATCCAAAAGTTGTAATTCTTTCAAACTGCATAAACATACCATGTTCCTCTCCATACTTTACCTTGGGTCTTTTGGGCCACAGCAATCCCTTCCACTACAAGTACTGTTATTAGCAACACTAGAGAAAGAACAGAAAAGAATAGTTAAAAAGTTGCATTTATTTTACATTTTACTACGCCTCTAAGGAAACTCTGATGACAATAAAGGACTAATGACTAAAATTATATGGGTGTTGTTATAGAGGCTACGTTGGCCTTGAACTCAAAATCTGGCTTCCTTTATCTCCCCCCGTGCTAGGATAATAAATATGTGCACACATTTTGGTTAAAATTGCCATTTCTTACCAACATTCACACTGAGTCTTTGAGATATGAAATGCTGTGCCCTTGGGCTAGTGAGAGGGTTGGCTCTTCGGGTAAGGGTGCTTGCCATTGAGCCTAAACACCCGAGCTTGATCTTTGGAATCTATAAGGTGAAAGAACGACTCTGAAAGTTGTGTCTAACCTCCCATGAGTACCACAGTGGGAATGTGTAAAAGCTCAAACATGCGAATATTCATGAGCATACATACATATTCACAATGTAAATAAACAAATGCTATGTTCTTATTTACTATTTGACTCCAAAACAACCAAAGAAAAGATGTAACTGATTTTGTACTTATTTATATAAGAAGTAATGAATACCATGTGCTGTTAAAAACTTTTTTTTCAACATGAAAACAAGCCCACATATATGTGTTGTGCAGGCTTTTGCTAAGCCTAACCATTCCATTTACTCTACCTGAAGTGTGCTTATGCATTTGGTCAGTTGTGCAGTGTGTTACGCCAAAGCTCAAGTGGCTCACCTGACTTCTACAAGTCCACCGACACTGCTACTGTACATCACTGTGCTGTGCTTTTGCTCTAACGGGGAAGCCATATTAAACACTAAAGCTATTTCACTCCTCACCCCGAACGTTTGAGACCCAACCAACAATATATACTTTTTTTTTCTGTGTTTTGGAGATTTCAAAGACATTTTTTATGAATGGCACCTTTTTACATTCAATAGAAAACGTGCTACCAGGCTGCCCTAAACTACCAGTTTGGTAGATAGACATTTAGTCAATAGCATTTATCTCCTTCTAAGAAGGCAAAGGTATGGCTACAAAATTAAGCAGAATGCCTAACAGTATTGGACTTCAGGAGACAGGTGAGTATAGGAGTTTAGGTTTCTGTCTTATATTACTGTACTAGCTGTGAGGTCTTTTTAAGCTTCATGTTAGTTATCTGCAAAATCCAGAAGATGTACTAATATGATGGGACCAGTCTCAATGGTGTGCATATCATATCGCATGTACCAAGCATTCTGCTAAGTAAATGGTAGATACTGGGAAAATTATCATCTTCCTAGAGTCACCTGTCAAAGACTGAAATAGAGGTGAAAAGAGAGGTTTAGAGACTGCATAATGGAAACATGGAGAAGGGAACTGGTATTCATTCTTCCTGAGATAAAAGGGCAGAGTGAGGAAAACATCTGGAACAGACCTAATTGGACTTGAACTCCTGAGAAAGAAATATGGTAGCATAGCAGGTTAGAAAAAAAGCAAGATAAGACTTAAGAGTAAAAACTCTTAAATACCATGTTGATGAATTTATACTTTCAATTACAATTAAAAAAAAAAAAAGCACTGAAGACTTTTGTTTGTTTATTGTGGTGTTAGGGAATGAACCCACAGCGCTGTGCATGCTAGCCCAGTGCAGTACCATTTAGATACATTCCTAGTTACTCACTATAGGTTTTGATTTTTTTAAAAATATTTATTTATTTAGTATGTATACAATGTTCTCTCTGTGTGTATGCCTGCAGGCCAGAAGAGGGCACCAAACCTCATTACAGATGGTTGTGAGCTACCATGTGGTTGCTGGGAATTGAACTCAGGACCTTTGGAAGAGCAGGCAATGCTCTTAACCACTGAGCCATCTCTCCAGCCCCCTAGGTTTTGATTTTTGATTTTTTTTTTTATAGACAGGATTTTACTACACAGTGTTGGTTGGCCTGGTGTTGAAATAAGAGCGGTGGGGCTGCGTCCCCAACACCCCGGCCGCTTGGCTAGCTTATGCCCGAAATAACAACACACAAACTGTATTCATTTAAAGAACTGCTTGACCCATGAACTCTAGCCCTTACAGGCTAATTCTCGCACCTGGTCTAGCCCATTTCTAATGATGTTTGTAAGCACCCCAAGGTGCGCTTACCGGAAAGATTCTAGCCTAAGTCCATCGTGGGTTGCAGCTGCCTGGGAGAGCTGAGCATGGCGTCTCTGCTCCAGCAGAGCTGTCGGGTCTCTCTGGGAGCAGAGCAGAGTCTGACCTCACTTCCTCTTCTGCCCAGCATCCTATCCTGTTTATTCCGCCCACCTATCTTATAACCTATCAGGGCCAGCAGTTTCTTTATTACTCAGCCAATGAAATCAACAGATTGATATATGACACTCCCACATCAGCCTGGAACTGCTAGGTAGAGGAGGCTGGCCTAGAATTCAGAGCTCTGCTGGGATCAAAGGTGTGCACCACCAAACCCAGTCGCTCACTATTGTTTTTTAAACCAAGAGAGTATATCACTACTTCTTTCATTCTCCTGATGGTTGTCTGGAGGCTAAACTTATGAGAAAATCATTTGCGAAGTAAAGTAATGGTGATGTACTGAAGCAGAGAAGTCTGTGGAATTGGAAAGGAGAGACTAATGACATGCTTAAGACACAGTGAACTGCAATTTATAACTTACAAGATGTTAGGGAGAGGGAAATAGAGTGATTGACGACTTTGCCAAATGACACACACACACAGAGTAACAGCACAGGTTTGCTTAATAGCATACCTTCAGTGTCTATTAACAAGACTATCAATGTGCAAAATATAGTTCTTGTCACTTAGTTTACATCTTAAAATCTAAGCATTTGACCTCTTCATCCATGGTTTCTTGAATCCTTATTAACCTTTGTCTCCTTTCAACTATATTGACTGCCTTTCCTTTTTCAAAGACTTTTTTTTTCTCTTATGAATGGTGCTTTCTTCCATTGAGTGGAAATATACTACCAGTCTGCCTGGGATAGGTATTGAACTTTTAATTAGGACAAGAAAAACCACTGTAGGCTTTTGTTTGTTTGATTAAAGACTCCATGTCAGAATGAACGATTCTTATTTTTTTCTTTTAAATTTGTTTTAGGTGTTGTGGGAGCATGTCTTTAATCCCAGAAATCAAGGGGCAGAGGATTTTAATGAATTCTAGGACAGCCAGGGCTACATAGTGAAATCCTACCTCAAAACAAAACACTTCCCATCTTTATACTGGAACCGAGTTAGAGAAACAGAGCCTTGAACTTAAAAAACAATAACCACAACAAAATTAAGAGATTTATGATTACAAAAAACAAACCCATAATGCCCAAACATTAGGAGTCTGAGGTTCAGGAAATGAAACATTCCTTTATGTCGGTTATCCTCTCGGAGGAACCCAGCTCCCATGGTGTGTCATTTAGGTGACACACAACGGCTCGATACATTTTGTTCATGTTCTTTTATTTCTAGAATCACAGGTAAACTATCAGTTTTCACATTTATAACTCACAGCTTTAAAGTAAGTGACACCAAGCGAGTAGAAAGGGTAAGAAATCAACAAACACCGGCTGGAGGTGGCTCAGGGGTTAACAGCACATAATGCTCTTGCAGAGGACCTGGGTTAAGTCCCCAGCACCATATGGTGACTCAAAATGATCTGTAACTCCAGTTCCAGTGGATCTGATGCTCTCTTCTGAACTTCAAGGGGACCAGGCACACATGTGGTACACATAGATACATGCAGGTAGCACATCCATACACATAAAATAAAGATAAACAATCTTAAAGAATGGAGGGGGGAGGACCTTGGACTTTCCACAGGGCAGGGAACCCTGACTGCTCTTCGGACGGGGGGGGGGGGGGGGGGGGGGGGGGGGGGGGGGGAAGAAAAGTGGGAGGAGGGGGAGGGAAATGGGAGGCTGGGAGGAGGCGGGAATTTCTTTTTTTTCTTTCAATAAGAAAAAATATTGAAAGAAAAAAAAAGAAATTAACAAACAGAAGCAGGAGACCAATAGTACAACTAGGAATAAAAAAAGTGTGTCTGAAAATTAAAAGCATAGTAAGCAATAAAAACTCACACATATAAAATAAAATTTAAAAACAAATGGTTGGGGATAGTATATTAACTATAGAAATAGCTGGGTGGCAGTGGCACATGCCTTTAATCCCAGCACTTGGAAGGCAGAGGCAGGTAGATCTCTGTGAGTTTGAGGCCAGCCTGGTCTACAAGAGTGAGTTCTAGGACAGCCAGGGCTATATAGAGAAACACTGTCTTGAAAAACAAAAAGCAACCCCACCAAACCAAACCAAATGGGTGTGTGTGTGTGTGAATAATTTTAATAAAGACAGAAACCAATGTTTTTATTTTGCACATTTTATTAAAATATATAAATTTATTTTATATACACATGGAAAAAAGGTTATACCATCAGAAATATGTACCAAAATAAAAAAACCACAAAATTCAGCTTTATTAATATTAAACAATGTATATTTGGGGCTGCAGTAATGGCTCTGAGCTTAAAAGCAGCTGCTGTTCCTCCAGAAGACTAGGTATTGCAGCACTCAAAGCGAGTAACTCAAAACTGTCTGTAACTACAGCTCTAGGGACACCACATCTTCTTACAGCTTACAGCTTCCTTGGACATCTGCACAGATGTGCTCTCTCTCTCTCTCTCTCTCTCTTAACATGCCCTCTAAAAATGTAGTTCTTAATGAAGATGAAAATTATTGCTAGGAAAAATTTTAAGTAAAAAAAAAAAAAGAGACTTACATCATGTAGTTTGCAAACTGGGGAGACAGAGCCATTGGCATAAACTTAGTGTGATCCAAAGGAATGAAGAAGGATTGGTTAAAATAAAGCTCTTGACCAAGTTCTCATGCTGGCCCAAGTGTTCATTACAGACTGGCTGATATTTAAAGTTTAAGGCTGGGTCGGGTGGTGTACACCTGTGGTAGTTTGAATGTAACTGGCTCCCATGTTAGCATCAGGAGGTGTGGCTTTACTGGTGTAGGT